TGTGCATGCGCAGATAAAGCTTCATTTGTTGCACAACTAGCAGGCCACCCACCTATCCAGTCAGTGGCCTGGAGGTTGGAGACCCTGTTTCAAGGTGTCTGACCACTTGTAAAACTTCTCATTCCTCCTGTATTATTCTCTCCCCCCGCCCCCCAAACATTACTAATCCATTACAATGGAGGGAAATAACTAGGAAGATGGGAGTTAAAATCCTCACTCTACCATAAAGCGTCCCTGAAATTCATTCCTATTTTTAGCCTCATTGTTGTGAAGAGAAAAAACGAGGGAGAAGGCCTAAGCATCCTGTTTTTATCTCCCTGTGTTTAGGTCTATGGACTTTTTGAAAATACTCAGATCTAACCTGACCAGCAGACCACTTCTCTGCTCTCCGTTAAACCATGTACTTTCTTTTTAGCCTGAAAAAGGTCATACAGGTAGTCTTTGACTTAATGTCCACAACTGGAACCAAAATTTCAGTCACTAAGTGATGCAGTTGTTAAGTAAGTCATTAAGTCAGATCCGTTTTTACTAGAATTGGGTATGTCTAGTTTAATGAAAAGAAGGGGTGACATGATAGCAGTGCTCTAAGGGGCTGCCACAAAGAAGAGAGGATCAACCTATTCTCCAAAGCACCTGAAGGCAGAAGAAGAAGAAATGCGTGGAAACTAAGCAAGGAGAGAAGCAACCTAGAACTGAGGAGAAAGTTCCTGCCGGTCATAACAATTAATCAGTGGAACAACTTGCCTCAAGAAGTTATAAACGCTCCAACAGTGGAAATTTTTAAGAAGAGATTGGATAACCATTTATCTGAAATGACAGGGTTTCCTGCCTGAGCAGGGGGTTGGACTAGAAGACCTCCAAGATCCCTTCTAACTCTGTTATTCTATTCCTATTCTATTTCTATTCTATTCTACTCTAATTTTCTAAAGTGAATCACATGGTCACTGAATGAATCACATGGATGTTAAACAAATCCAGCTTCCCCAACTGATTTTGTGTGTCAGAAGCTAACTAGGAAGACTGCAAATCATAATCATGTGACTGGAAGAGTGATGTGACGGTCATAACTTTAAGGACCAGTCATACGTCATTTTTTCCCTAAGGCCATCATAACTTCAAACTGTTGTTAAATGAGCCCTTCATAAGAGGACTACACATAAGTGTCGGGCTTGCGCTGCATCTAAACTCCTCCTAAATAATTTTCAACCAACTGCAAAACCCAAGAATTTATTATACGTGCAATGAACACATAAAAACTGTTTATGGTCTTGTTTTCATTGCTTGGTTTGTGAGTAAACTTTGTTCTTTCTTTATCTGAATACTATACTCCCTTCCTTAAAGAAACATCCAAGCTATTTCAACCACATGAAGGAGGATGGGAAAATGAAAGCCAAAGGCCTCTGAACCCCAAAACAGCAGCCTATCTTTATTCCCAGCTCACCTTCTGATCATCAGGAACTTGTATTTTCCGGGCCTTTTTCATGATTGGCTGAGGCTTAAGCTCCTCTTCTGAGAACCGATGCTTGCGAGGGTCAAAGGTCTCGTGGCCTGGAATGCTGGACAAGGCCAAATCAGCAGGGTCGGGGTCAAAGTTCATGATGATCAGCACAGCCTCAGGGTCTACCGGGCTGGGTGTGCTTCGGGATACTGGCGTGATAGGACCTGAGGCA